TTGCATCATAACCGTGTTTATTGTTACAGGCTCAACTCGACCTTCTCCCAACTGAAGATAGATGGCGCTGAAGCAGCAGATGATGATAATGAGTCAGGATTCTCATCTGTCAGTCGGTGAGTGAAATGTGCTTACATCTTATTCAGACTGACAGTTTTAAAAATATCAATATTTTGATGAGGCTTCACCGTATCAGTTAAAACTGACATTGCGAGCTTTCACACAGACTTGAGTATCACATTTATTTATTTATTTTTTAAAGATTTCGTTTTAGGACAGATAAGCGGATAGATTTGGAAATCAGGGACAGAGAGTGGGGAGTGACATGCGGGACAGGAGCCACAGGTCGGATTCAAACCCTCTATATATTGGGCTCGCGCACTAACCACTCAACTTAGTACTCAACAAAAAAATACAACTGATGTTTAGTGAATTTTTAAAAATCTACATATTACACCTTTAAGCAATTTTCTTATTTCAAATCTCAACACGCTGCTACTTTCATCAAACACTGGATGATGATTAACAACACACACATTCTCTCTGAAGTTCTTTGTTTTGATGAAGTTATGGATTTCCTTTAAATGTTTTATTTATTTTTTTAACTTGTTGTTGCTGTTGGTCCAGAAATATCCCAAATAGTCAGGTTCATTAGGTTTAAAGTTCATGTAAGAATCAGGAGTTTATCATTCAGAGTGAACTAAATCAAGTCTTACTGGATCGATGTCTAATTTAGAAGTTTTAGTTTTTCATCTGTTGTTGTGGTTTGATATCTAACTATCTAATCTTTCTCTCTTTTTTCAACATTCTCAGTGATGACGACCAATCATCAAGTTCATCTGATCCATCTCTCCACAGTGATGACGCCCAATCATCAAGTTCATCTGATCCATCCCTCCACAGTGATCGGTCAAAAGGACAAATAATTACTTTGAAAGAATTTGAAAAATGCGACCCAGCCTGGTGAGTGTTTTTAACAATGAATCCTGACAGTCATGTTTGTACACACACACACTGAGTCTGTTTTCAAATAATTAACAGAATGTGATGTAATGTGATGTAAGATAAATAAAAATATACAGTACAAAATGAATGATGAAGTTAACTGGGGGGAATTAAGAATTGAGACAGTATTTGCAGGGAATGACAAGATAAAGTGACAAGTAATTAAAGTGGCTTGGTATGATAAATAGCAGCAAGTAATGTAAACATCAGAGAAGAGAGGCAGTGTTGTACCACAGTTGAAGTGATGTTGAGTTTTCAAGTGAAATGTTTGACTGAAACATCAACACCTCCTCTCTACTTTGATCCTTTGTGTCATTCATGGAATAAAGAAACAACACAGTGTTTAATGTGTTGCTCAGTGTCTGCTTTGCTCTTCATATTTCATTTGTTATAAAGAAGCATCATCAGTGTGTCTCTTGTTGCAGGGATCAAAGATGGCAACTTCTGCAGAAACAGAAGAAACTCATTCAAATGCAAGAAGAAGTTGTTTTGGCCCATCTTCCACCTGATTGGTGAGTAAAATGTATTTACAACATATACAGTATGTATTCTTTCAGATGAAGCTATGAACATCATTTAAATGTTCTTAAGGTAAATGGATCTTTGTTGTCATGTCTATTGTTCATGAATGAATGTTTGTTTCATATTTTAATAATTAAATTTTGTAAATCAACATTTTAAAGCCGGACCGTCTTCTCCTTCAGAGAAAATGACATGTTGCTTTATTAATGAACATTTTGGTCAACGACACAAAGTATAAATAACATGTTTCTTTTTTTTTACACTTACTTTGATCACATTAAAAAAATTAGCTGCTTTTGATTTTAATGTTTATTTTGATGAAGAATAATCATACAATGCTTATTACTCCATGCAGGATGGAGGAGGAGGAAGAAGAGTCTGAAAACAAAAGTCTGAACTTTGTGTCTGGACTTTGGGCTGACTGGTTGTTTGAAAACCATGTTGAGTATAATGATCTGTAGCTCTTTTTGTGACAGCTTGATTTGGATACTTATGGATAAAACAAATGTAAATGATAAGATTTGTTAGTGACATAAGATGATGAAGTCAACTCAGCCTTAAAAACAACTGTTGTTTTCTATTATCTTACTGTCATCTGTGTACTCATTCTTTCATTTTCTCTGCTGGGATTCTTTTGATTGATTGAAGTCTTTTTTCAAATTTGTATTTTCTTTTTTCCCCCCTTTGTTTCAGGATAAAAAAACAAACAAAACAGATCCACAAAAAGAAAAGTAAATAAGACAACAGAACATTTGAATTTCATGTTCGTAAAGAAGTGGGAAGAAGTGTGAATTTATAGAATCCCACCCCCTCTCCGTTAATCTGTAGTTAATAGTTGAACAGGCTTCCTTATTTAATCTTCATTTACGAATAAATAAATAACGAATCTGCAATACACATTTATATATATAAACCAATAAACATACAAAATATATAAATTAAATACAAACGTGTTTCTGCAAAATATAATTTCATCTATCATCCATTAAAAAAAGATAAGGACAGCACTCCAAATTTGTGTATTTAATTGCCAAACGAACGTTTTGAGCCGACGCTCTTCTTCAGCGTGTAACAGGCAATTTTTCAACCATGCACAGGTGTAATCAATTTGTACTTGTCCAAGATGGACACACCTCCATCGCAGTAGAGAGTCTATCATTTTCTGTCTATCATTTATCAACCATTGACATATTTTAACATGTATTGATTTCTTTTATCTTCTATATTCATGTTCTTCTCCCTTAATTAATGATATACAGTTTGTAGTAATACATTTAAGTTAGTGTTTTTTCTCCATTACCTATTTACCCTTCACCATACCTGTCAACATATTTACATATATACCTTCATTCCTTTTAGAAAAACAAACAGAAAAGAAAAATGAACAACCGTTATAATCACCATCATAACCACGCAGCAAATTTTAAGTCCCTTCTGCATCCTTATACTTTCTGAAAATGTTTTTATTTTTTTGTACATGTTTTAAAAGTTGTTTGTGCTTGGACTTGGCTTCAGCTCCACATTTAAACTGTTACAAAGTTTTATGCCAACAATAGAAACAGAAAAACTTCTGAATGTTGTGCGTGTGGCCAGAATTTTGAGATTCAGTTGTCTCCATATTGTAACCCCCCTCTCTATCAAAGAATAGTTTTGGGATATTTGCTGGTAGTAAATAGTTTTTTTTCTGTGTACAGTATTTGTGCTATTTGAAATTCTGTGAGTTTGAGTGTTTTTGACTGCAAGAATAATGACTGAGTGTGATCCCGATATCCAGCATTATGAATGAAGCCTATGGCTCTTTTCTGAAGTACGGAGAGTGAATGCGGTTAACTTTTATATGTGTTGCCCCGAACCTCCTCTCAGTAACTTAAATACAGTAAAACAAGTGTACTGTAGAGGGTATGGAGAGATTTGTGATTTATTTATCTATTGTTACCCCAACAAATGTGTATACATAAACTCTTTCAATGCTGACACCATCTATTTGTAGCTGTATTTTTGTGTTTGCTTTATATTTACCAAATAAAATAATTTTTGTGATTCAAATTTAATGATAATTTATTTCTATCAAACCACTTTTTTAATTGTTGCCATTTCTGTAGTAATAACCTCTAATAATTGTAGATTCTCACCTGAACAAAGAATATTGTTATCATCTGCAAATAAGACCAGCTTCAGTTTATTAGAGACTTTACATACAGTATGTCATTAATGTATAAAATAAACAGATTAGGACCCAACACTGACCCCTGGGGGATGCCACAAGCAATGTCCAAGCTGTCCATTGTTGCCTACGATACGATCCCCCCTGATGCCATATCGTTCTAGTTTATTGATCAGTATTTCATGATTTATTGTGTCATGCTTATTTGTAGTCCAAAAATACCCCAACTGCTTTGTGATTTCCTCTTGATTCTATTAATGCGAATGATGTTGAATGGTTTGTCTGAATCTGTATTGTACGGTGGCTGGGAAGTACAAACCAAAAGACAAATTCACTCTTTCACACATACAGCTCCTCCTTGAAATATCCTGAGTTTTTTAGAAGTTTTCTGAAAGTATGAAAGCCCCATACCTTTATTTAGCAGAAAGACTGTGTTAGGGGTGCCGGTGACCTAGTGGTTATGTCATGCACCCCTTGTACAGAGGCTGTAGCCCTGCCCCTGGGCTGGAATCTGACCTCGGCCCTTTGTTGCATGTCATCCCGCCTCTCTCTCCTCCTAACATTTCCTGTCTCTCTTCAGCTGTCCTATCAAATAAAGGTAAATATGGCCCAATAGACTGCGTTAAACTTTGTTTTGTCCTTTGTGAAAGTGTTTTCCTTTTGTAATTTTTAATTCATAAAATGTTTTCCAAAATTTAAATTTGTCTCCAGCTTTGTAAAAGTATTTCACACTTACTTTTTCAAGTAAGCAACAGCCAAATAAGTGTGAAGTATAGCTGTATTAAGTGGCATAAATGAAGAAGGAAAAACAAACAAAAGAATGGATAGGTATAGGTAGTGCTAGTAGACTAAATTACCTCAAAACTGTACTAAAGTTCAGTATTTAATTAATGTTAATTTAGTTTATAGTTAGATTTATCAATAGCTGGATAAATACACAATACGTGAACCAAAGCGGAACAAATACATTACAAATAAACCAGAGGAAAGATATTTTTTTATGAGTATTTATTCCATAATCCTGTCCTTGTCAATTTATCTGAACTGTTCATTTAAAGGCAGCGACGTACGAAGTCCCATTGCCTGAGCGGGGGATTCCGCTTGCGGTTATTCGCCGTTTATATGCTTACAGCTTTCATGCAGAGACGATTTTAAATCAAGACAACACCCAAAATAAACCCGAAATCATAACGCTACTTTGAGTTTCTAAAAAAGAACCCACTGAACAAAGATTGCTTAAATCGAAGTACATGTTGACAGCGCGCCACCCCTCCAAACCGAGTTGGTCTCGCCCGAGTCTGCCCAGCATCAAACGCACATGTCGGGTGTGTTGTGCTGAGGATTGCGGTGATATTACAGCATTTAAGTGAACCGTTGCGGGCTGTCACGTTGCTGTGTGCTCTCACAATGCGATAAGCTTCTCGGTCAATGATTAAATAAATCATTAAAATCAGGGTTATAGTAGAAAACACTTTGTGTAAAGGAGCTGACACGCTAACCGGCGTGACTGCAGGCGACTGCTGTTTGACTTCACCGGACTGAAGGTTTGTACACCGTCACCACATACCTGTCATTATGAGCCTTTCTAACTACATGTGCAATACTTGTTACATCATGAATATGTCGGCGGGGAAAAGGGCTTGTTGAAAATGACTCGTCTTTTGGCTTGGTCATGTCAAAAAAAAAAGAAAAGCTGAGCTAGCCACCTGGTGCTGAGCAATGCCACGTAGCTAACCGGCTAATGGGAGCAGACAGCCGGGGAAGTTGTGCACAATCATTGAAGGGTGCTCAGGGTGGACCTGCAGACTGAAGTGCACAGATACTTCACCTGAGTGCATTCAGTAAACCTAGGTAAAGCTCCTGCATTGAGGATGTTAGTTCAGGAAAGAACAAGTGTAATCAGGGTAGTGTGTGTAAAAAAAACCTGCAGAGAAATATGCAATGAACATTACAACTGATCCCCTTTAACAAACAAAAAGCTGACCTATGAAAACAAACTAAGAACTTAAACATCATGGATTATAGAATATGTTCATCCCCAAGAGTATAAGCAGTTATTAAAACCCGACAGATTCATCGACTGGCCGATAATATCAGACGATATTATCATATCCAGAGACGATCTGTATCGGAGGATTTTATTCCAGATGTGCGCTGATATTACTCGATTTATTCACCAGTCAAATGGCATTTAATTTGAATATCACTGTGTAACACTAGCAGTTCTTGTTCTGGCTGTCACCAGCAGAGGGCGCTGTATGGATTACAATAAGCATCACTCTCCAGAGTGTGGAGCGATGATTCACGTACATGCACAGTTAATTTCCAGTTGAGTGACCATCTTGTCTTCGTTATAAATCTTTTCCACAAGTGTTTGATAACTGCATTTGAGGGATCAACGCAATAAACGTGCGTTTCTGTATCTATCTCGACAAATCCAGCACAGATCTAAGAAAGATATCGGCCGATATATCGGTTTCTGATTCTTACTTTCCCCAATATCGATATCTGTATCGGCCCTGAAAATCCTAGATTAACAGAATCTCCAAACTCCAAAATGCAAAATAAATTAAACTGGTTAATTTGATGGTAGCTGCGCGCGATGTGTTTATTGCAATTCCTCAATAACGATGAATTTGTGATTAAGTGCACAGTTGTAGTTTGAGCATAAATTTGAGTATGGAACGAGCTCATAACTTTCTTTCATAGCTTCATTAAGTGATCACAATTGAAAATACAAGACAATACAAAGGGGTTTAAACCGGGCAGAGCATTAGAACAGTGTTAAAAAAAACAATAAAGTTTAATTTTCTTTTCCTCATCAGGCTTTGGGGCTTCCTGCCGTGCGACACCATGAGCTCCAGGGTGTGTAAGAGCTGCGGCAGCTCGGACATCGATGTTGACCAGGCGCGTGGAGATGCGGTCTGTATGGGCTGCGGCTCCGTGCTGGAGGACAACATCATCGTGTCTGAGGTGGAGTTTGTGGAGACGGGAGGCGGAGGGTCGTCGGCTGTCGGACAGTTTGTCTCCTCAGAAGGTGAGAGGAATGAAATGATTCACCTGTGAGAGCAAACCTGGTCATGAAGTCTTTACCAGACGTAATAGAGAGTGAGATTGTTGACAAATATAACCTGCTTTATTTAGAAGATGTTTGTCTGTTATGGTTTTGTACAATAGTTTCCTAGATATGGGAAGTAACTGAATACATTCACTCAAGTACTGATGTAAAATTTAACTTGCTGACTTTATCCTCAGTATTAAAATGTTATACCGCTCGATACGTCTGCTCCACTATAATTCAGAGAGAAATATCATATGTTACTGTACTACATGTAGGCCATTTTGGTGCCCTAGGCAAGATTTCAGTGGTTGCCCCTTATATTGCAGACAGTTTGACCACCAAAGACAATATTCATCCATTTAAATAAAACTTGCCTACAGTTTTATATTTAACAGAATGTCTTTATTTAAAAAATATAAAATACTTATAGACAAACATTTTTAAAATGGTAATAACACAAATATTTCTTATAAGTAAATACAAAATAAAATAAATACAAACAACTAGTGTAACAGAACAAACAATACCAAACAGTTTAGGGAGCAGAAGTGGTCACAGACGGCCCGGGGCCAGCAGGGGATGGATTTAAATGTTTCTGATTACATCTGGAGAGAGAAGATGAGCATTTGTGAAACAATCTGCATTTTATAGTATAGTGTTTTATTTAAATATTATTTTCTCTTCTGAGCAGTACAGAAAACTCAACTCAATAGTTTTCCTTTCAACCAGACCTACAGCATGCACACATATCTATACAGAGAGGACTTCAACCAGACCCAACATGCACACATATCTACACAGAGAGGACTTCAACCAGACCTACAGCATGCACACATATCTATACAGAGAGGACTTCAACTAGACCTACAGCATGCACACATATCTATACAGAGAGGACTTCAACTAGACCTACAGCATGCACACATATCTATACAGAGAGGACTTCAACTAGACCTACAGCATGCACACATATCTATACAGAGAGGACTTCAACCAGACCTACAGCATGCACACATATCTATTCAGAGAGGACTTCAACCAGACCTACAGCATGCACACATATCTATTCAGAGAGGACTTCAACCAGACCTACAGCATGCACACATATCTATTCAGAGAGGACTTCAACCAGACCTGCAGCATGCACACATATCTATACAGAGATATTCAGATTATGCTCTTAGACATCAATACTCTAAAGGCAAGAGCTTAAAACTATTAATGACAACAGGAAAATAAACATTTTAATCGACTAGGGTGAAAGCTAACTAAATGTAAATAAATATATAAGTAGGTTTTGTGTCCCAAACAACGTAGCCTACTATACAAAAGAAGAAGTGTATTACTTAACACTGGTTATATTCTTAACATGAATAATCTTAACCTACTAAAAGTACAGTGGAAATAACTGATGTTAACTCGAATCGCTTTACTCACAGCTCTTATAAAAAGTTCTTCTCAATATAAGCCGATAGATAAATGTGTTCGTTGTGGGATAAATATAGGTTTATTTTATCTTATAAATATAACGGGACTTATATGCTCTCTGTCTCTCTTGTTTACGTTTATAGACTTGCAAATGAGTTCTGAATTAGCGGTATTTTCCAAATAGGCTAACCTTTTTTAGTAGATTTTATGGCGTTTGTTGACCTTTGAATTATTGTGGGCTTCCCCGGGAAATCATATGTTTCACGTCGCAATGCTATGAACTATGGGTAATTCCCTCACGTTAAGCCTGCAGATATGCCCACTTACGATGGATGCATAAAGGATTCGTAAAGTCAGCGAGAGATCCCTTAAACGCTTGACGATTTGACAGTGGGACAGCACTGAGCCCTCACAGACTTACCGGGAACGCCGTGCACCAAAGTCAGTGAGTGTGTGAGGGCGGAGGTCGAGATTGGGCCGCTGTCTGCAGAGACCCTGTCCTCCGCCTGTATCTTGATGCTTTGGTTGACTCGGATGTTTCTGGGTGGGGGTGTGTGTGTGTGTGTGTGTGTTTCCTCCAGCCAATGACAGGGCGCAGGTGACTTTGGGAGTGGATAGAATTCAGTGATTGGACGACATTCAAACTAGCTGATGATGTGGAGGCAGACATGGCGGCAAAGAAGAGAAAATATAATGATAGTGAGGCTAAACGTGGATTAAACAATTATATATCTGATTACTCGTTAAAGAATTTTTTAAGCTTATAAAAACATTCACAGTTTGAGTCTCTCATCTGTGAAGATTTGTGGAATTTATTGAAGAGAAATCGGGTAAGAGAGTGGAGAACATTTGTGTTAGCTCAGACAATCTTGACTTTTAAACACTGATTAAACATCAACACGTTGATATTTGTGTTTGTGAGATATTTTGTGGTATGTAGTATTGCCACACGTGAGGCTGTTCTGTCTGTTTTTGTTGTTCCACATCTGCGTTTAACATTTACATCAAGACTTTCTCTGACCAAGTTTTACTTCCTGTCTTGAAGTTCCCCAGCTGTCCACTAGAGGATGCTGTCAGATCACACCACAGTACATATAGCTACTTCTTCTGCTGGTGTGAAGCCATTAGATAATGCACACAGTTATGGTTTATTTATTGATAATTGAGTTCTTCTCACTTTTGATTCTGATTTTGACTTTCAGTTAGGGATTAAAGTTTTTTTCTTGGACATGTACATCCATGAATTTGGATCTGGAGATTATGAAGCAGCATAATATATTTATATATAATATAATATACCATAATTTGCTGTGTAAAACTCTAAGATGGCAAAGAATTAATCTCTCAGACCACAAGGTGACATTTATTGTCCTAAAAACCATAATATCGTTTTACTTTGATGTAAGACGGAGATAAACGGGGAAAAAAGTCAAATTGAATACTTATTTTAGTGCACAGTAATTATTATAATTGTTATATTGACTGTCTGGTCTTTGTCCTCAGGTGGAGGTCCAAACCCGTCTTTCGGTGACGGGCACTTCACAGGTGTGGGCAGAGAGTCCAGAGCTCAGACACTGCAGAGAGGTGAGTGACCAGCAGAGGGCGCCACACACCAGCTTTTGAGTTTACAGAATCCTCTGGTGATGTTCGTTCCTCCATATGGGGCAAAAGTTTGAGTCTGGGTCATACACATGTCATGAATTTCCTTTTTAAATCAGAATGTAATCCTTTAAAAAACTTTACAGAGCTGACTGAAACATAGAAAACATCTGACCCTGTGTTCATCACAGGCTGTCTCTGTTAACCTCTAGATCAAACATTTGAATCAGTCTTCGTGTGTACGCTTTCTCTCCTGAAAGCAGCCGTGTATCAACATATTTTTTTTAACCTTTTCTGACACAACATCCAATAAATTAAAGGCTTTTAGAAATGATAGGCTTTTAATAGTTTACCTTGAATCTTTTTATCATGTTTGCTGAAAGAACAGCACGTTTAATGTCCACATTCAGGTTGAATCAACTGTGTGTTGTTGTTGATAGAGACATGATCGCTCATCACATTATATGACCATGTTGATAATGTTTAAACTTTACTGGCTTTCAACCTCTTTTCTATCCATCTCTGAGTTAGGTATATTGTATGACAGTTCCTTGCAGGGGTTGATGATGTTTCCTGTCTCTGGGACATGATGGCTTGCAGAAGCTGCAAAATCTGAGTTTCTTGTGGCACAAATCGTCTTTTGACCTCTAGAGGCTATTTTAGCTTTTATTTCCAGGCTTCACTTTCAAGTGTGCTGCAAAATAACGCTTCAAACTGCTAAAATAGCATGCGGATAAATGCAGATGATGTTTAGGATGCACATACTTAATGCAATCCTATCAATGTTTTGCATTTGTGTTAGAAAAAACAATATCTTAAATGATCAGAAGGTCATGTAGAGGAGGATTGTGTTATTTATTCTGTAGAGAATACATCAAACTGAAACTGTTAAAGCAAGGAGGATGTGTCTGCTCTGCTCCAAGAGAGTTGTTTCTTTTTGCTTGTATTGTCTCTGTGATAAGCCAGTATCCACAGATAACATCAGCCCTGTTTATAAATCTGTCAGGCTTAATATTGACCTCTTCATCATCCTTCATGGGCCCTCGAAGGGAACCTACGGGACCTCCTAGAGTGTCCCTAGAGCTCATGCTGATGCAGGAGTTTTAGCTCAATAACTCTTGTTTAGAACCACGTCAACAACTTGCAGAAAGAGACAAAAAAAAAAAGCTCAGCTGAGGGTTGTTGGGCTGCCGGGCTGCCGGGCTGCCGGGCAGGGAGCCAGAGCTCGTACTCCAAGCCGAGCAGCTGGTTACCGACCGTCTGCTCCACTGATGATGTTTCAGCGATGGAGCCGCAGAGTCACAGAGCTGTCAGACTGCAGCAGACGCTGAGTAATGGGAGCATGTGTGTTAGACAGTGTGGATAGGGGATTAGTTTAGTCACAATGTGTGTTTGAGTGTGTGTGTGTGAGAGGAGATAGCAGGATGAGGATTGGGGAATTCTTCCGTTATTTTCTGCCTGTTTGCTTTAGGAAAAGATGTGCATTTGCTGACGCGTCTGGATGGAAAGAGGCTTTATTTTTGCGATGCTCTTTATCAGTATGGTTGTGTTTAAATAGGGATCCTATCACTATCACACAGGGGTGGGCGGTAAACCTGTATCAATACCGGCACCAGTTTTATGTCCTGCCCTGACATGAGCTTATTGCCATAGTGTCAATACTGGTTTAAATACAGCGATTGGTTTTAGTGCACACACGAGGCAACACTGATTGCTCAACCAACCAGCTACAGTGGTGATTAAACAAAATGAGCATTAAAGGCTTTATGTGATTTTTCACACTTAATATAAATCAAGTATATCCTCTGAAAATAACTCTGTGAGTCATGACTGTCTACAATGGGTGTAACACCCGAGTCCCACTGTCTGTGATGCTTTCAGAGTTTTCAGAGTCCTATCCTCAGTTTGTTTACATCGCCGGGACAGCCGGCTGACTCCTCCCCTCGAGTATAAAAGTTGTTTAATTGAGGGACTAGAGAAAAGAAGAATAACATACTGTACTCACTGCTTAACTGTGTTTCTAGATCACGCTCATTTCAGGTAAATTTACATGCAGTGTGAAGATACGAGCATAATAAAGATCGCTAGCATTAGCATGCTAACACAACAATGCAGCGTGAGTTGTTTTGATGCTGGTGCTCAAGGGCGACATCTGCTGGATCAAAAAATCACATATAAAGACTTTAAAGAGAAATTTGTGATGGACAACGACAAAGAAAGAGTTCCCTGGTCTTATGCTTGTTTCACTCTGACACTCAGACCAGAGCTAGTGGTTCAAATACTTTTGTCTTGTGTGACGTCTGTGGTGACATTTGTGGCTTTTGAAGTCATGTGAGTCTGCAGGCGTCTTACAGAGACGAACGCTTCATCTTCTTCTTACACTTCTATATTTTCGTCCTTAAGAAAATTCCCCAAGCAGCCGCATGCTCCTCCTCTGTCTCACCACCGACTGATTCATATCTGGGTGCCCAAACTCCCAACGCCTTCTCCTGCATTTGTGAATTAGTGTTGGGCAATAGTGTATCACTGCTCCCTCGTGTTTCGGTCCACAGTGTGCTGCCTTGTAGGCTTGATGACTGGAATTTAAATGTAGCTTTGAAAGTGGTTCCAGGCGAGATTCATGTGTGATAACATGCAACGTCTGAGCAGTCTGAATCACAAACTGGAGCTGCAGTAAAAACTGAGTGATTACCATAAGTCTGGCTGTAGAGTTGCATGGTAAAGGAGTGGGTTGATACCAAACTGATTCTATTTATTCTAATTTGAACATGACTCAAATAATTCTGTAATGCTAGAAGAGTTTCAAACACACATTTACCATCACTTCCAAAAGTTTGACTGAAACTTTGGCCTCGTTTTGCTCATGGTTCTGTCGAGGTGACACATTACTGTTTGCCTCCGTCTCATACAAGCTGGGGAATCCCTCAGAGGAACTGCCACTGTGAAGTCCCCCCCCCCCCCCCCCCCTCCAGAACTACTACCCTTGTCACATAGCATCAGACTTTTGATGCATCATTATCCACTTTCGCGTTGTTGACGGTGCATGTTGGAACAAGCAACACAGGAAGATTTCAGGGGTAGTCGGCCTGAAAATGTCTTTAAAAAAATGTAAGGAGTGCATTAGGGCTGGGAAATATATCAAGTTTTTAAGATATATTGATATATTTTCAAACAAGATATAGGGTAAGACAATATCGTTAATATGGATATAGTTTATGTTGCATTAAAATAACGTTACAGAGGTGCCAGGTCACCTTTTCCTCATCTCACTGATGATGACTGACTGTCTGTCCCTCTTCACCCTGCTCCTCCTCTCTCTCTCTTTTATTGGATTTAAGGAACATTTTTATTTTATTATATTACTTTTAAATTCACAAACAGGTAGTTTATTTTTTCATGTGTTTTCACTGTCAATAAAATACATATCGATATATATCGAGTATCGCATTCAGCTCATCAATATCAAGATATGAGTTTTGGTCCGTATCGCCCAGCCCTGAGTGCATGTATGAAAACGGCTTTGGAAACACAATCGTTCCTATGGCTTTAAGTGTAAACACAAGAAAAAGGAGTGGGGTCCTCTGCTCTTATAACTACGGAGAGTTTGTCAAGTCCAAAAACGACTTTTGATTTAAGCAGAAGCGAATCCAAAAAATAAATCTAAGGACAGAGGAAGTCGTATGTAGAACACATTTTAAAGCCTCATGAGGACAATTTCTGTGATATTTGATGGTATGAATGAAATCAGTGAGACTTACTAGGCGTTGGTTAAACAAGAGGACTGTGTTTTTGTATGTAAATGCTTGAATAATGGCTCCCTAGACAGCTGAATAAAATACTTTGGAAATGCCACTCCGCCTCGGGGTGTCCCAGTTTTTGTTCATGTAAATGTTATGAAGTGTTTTTTCTTTACCTATTTAAAGGCTCTTATTAGGGAATCCGCTGCTTTTTGGAAGTTTTATCTGAAGAGTCAAGTAAAGGGCAGGAGACTTCAGTTTTTATTTTTTTTCTAGATCAGGGGAGAAGAGGCCTAATTACATCTGCAGCGTGGAGTGTCTGCCCTACTTACATCTGTGACAAACACTTGGGGAGAATTAGGCTAGCAATTAACAGTTTTATCTTCACTTGTGGCTTGATGAAGCCGAGGCGACTGATAAGAACTTTTTCATCTTGATGTTTTATATCCTGAAGTCGACATCATGAGTCATGTTTTGGATTGGTTCCTTTGCATCTGGATCTTTTGATTTCTTTGATTTCTTTTCTGGATATTGTCTCGGCAAACTTTTAAAGTTGATCTTCTGTTGTTTTTATATGGCATTATATGCGATTTGTTGATCCAGCAGATGTCGCCCTTGAGCACCAGCATGAAACCAAAACAACTCACGCTGCATTGTTGTGTTAGCATGCTAATGCTAGTGATCTTTATTATGCTGGTATCTTCACACTGCATGTAAATTTACCTGAAATGATCTAGAAACACAGTTAAGCAGTGAGTACAGTATGTTATTCTTCTTTTCTCTAGTCCCTCAATTAAACAACTTTTATACACGAGGGGAGGAGTCAGCCGGCCGTCCCGGCGATGTAAACAAACTGAAGATAGGACTCTGAAAACTCTGAAAACATCACAGACAGTGGGACTCGGGTGTTACACCCATTGTAGACAGTCATGACTCACAGAGTTATTTTCAGAGGATATACTTGATTTCTATTATATTGAAGTGTGAAAAATCACATAGAAAGACTTTAAAGGAACAATGAACTAATCAGCTAAAACGTACACCATTTACTTCCCAAAGTCACACACTGATGGTAGAGCCTGTCATGTGAAGTGTCCATCATTTTCAACCAATCACATTCTTGCACACTCACACACCGCTGACGCTGCAGTGGGAGCAACTTGGGGTTCAGTTTCTTCCCCAAGGACACTGTGGCTTCAGGTTGTGGGACTCCAGACTCTTACCACTGAGCCACAGCCGCCTCTGAGGTTTTGATTTTCAAGAGACAACTTCCCACAGGTAGACAGGAAAAAGTTGGAAGTACAGGTCGTACACAGGCGAGAGTTTTGCTGGTGCATGAGCAGGGAGCCACCACTGAGGGGAGTGAAACATTCTTCATTTACAGACTATATCCAGTTTATCAGGATACACAGCTGGTTGAAAGTCGGCCAATTTAACAGTTCAAGAATCTACAAATGTGTGACAGCCTGGCAACTTTCATCTGTGTGGGAAAGTTGAATTGAAAGACCATTAAAAATTCTTCTGCTCTTTTGCATAATTCAACCACTTTCTTCAGTTGGTTGAATTTCAGTGGCTGTGTGGAGAAAGAAACTCAGCTTCTTCTGGAATAATTAGAAACAGATCCAGACAGAAATCCCAGATCCAGACGTTGTTTATATCAAACTGTGCATTGTGTGTGTGTGTGTGTGTGTGTGTGCATGTGCGTGCATGTGCATGTGCGTGATGCTGATGTTATAAAGTGTGCTGGTTACGGATCTGAAAGTATGTTGAATTGAACAACAAGAGCTTAGACTCTCTCGCATTCCTAGACACACACTTGTTTGTATGAAGAGACGTTGAGCTCATCCGAGGACACACACACACACACACACACACACACACACACACACACACACACACACACACACACACACACACACACACACACACACACACACACACACACACACACACACACACACACACCTACCTGCAGCTCATTGGCAGTAATCTGTCTTGTCTAGAGAGATCGCTTGGGCAGACGTGCTCGTTGCGTGTCATGCCATGGTTATACTGGTTTGTGCGTGCACATTCCCACACATGTGTGTAATTGAACCCTCGTGCTCGTCTCCAGGCGTGGATGTCCTGACGTGTTTGTTTGCAGACGGTCATGTTTACGTGCTCATGTAACGACGTGCGGTCATGCATGTGTGTATTTAAAATCCTGATCAGACTAAACAACGTCAGTGTCTCAATAGCTGCTACATCACATTTAGTGATCATGGTGCCATAACCCCGTGTTCTGACTCGGCAGTGCAGCTATACTCAAGGCCCTTAGTAACCTCACCTTTCATACAACAACTATGGTGACAGACTAAAGTTGATATGAGTAAAAAATAATAAACTGTTGGGGTCTGTTCAGGGCGGATACTGATGCAGATTCTGATACCAATTTTTTTTTTTCATCACTTTTTTGTAAATCTTCGAGTCTTCTTTTCGAATGAGCGATGAGATTTAATGTGTTTAAATTGTTGTTAGCGGTCTCTGCTCTTGAAATGTCCCTGGAACATGTCGCTAATCTTTCCTAGAGACGATGTTAGGCTGCCACACTGCAGACATTTCCTTTCACGTTTGACCACAAAAACAAATCTTCTCCCGCCCGATAAAAACAGACACATTGGCTACTGACATCGGTGCGTGCCACTTAAAGGCAGCGTTGGTCATTTTCTCCAGATCCACTTTTTTAAGATTTTGTTTGAAATCGTCTTTAGGTCCTGACAGACATTAATAACTCAGGTGCTCTGAAAAAGGAACAAAGAGAATCCGTCATCTGTATCAGTTTGTAAGTCTGTAAAAACTTCAACCAATGTCTGCCACGAGGTACCAATCTGATGAACCAATCAGACGCCTCCCTGTCTCCCTGCTCGCTCTCTACCCTCTTGCGTGCTCTAGCCCACACTCAAAGCGCGTCACCAGTTAGTTTACTTGCCGCTGAATGAGACATGAGACGACGTAGTTTCTACACAATTCAAGAGATGAGCTGAGGTCCGCTTCTGGAGCAACGGCGCTCTTGCATTTAAGTGAGGGGGCGTGGCTTATGAGGGAGCACAGAGGGGGGGGGGGGTGCAGACGGAGCACTGAGGGAATGCTACTTTCAAAATCATGCTTGTTTTTGAAAATTACCAACCCTGCCTTTAAGTTTCCAATTGGGCCGATGTCTGTCAACAGGGCAGATTCACTGATGCGTCTCTAGTTTGTTTGAAATAAAAAAATAAAAGTTTTCTTAAATCTTGTAAATTAGATGTGTAGGTCAGGATGTCTCTGCAGCACTACAGTACTTCATTATAATACCCTTTCTGTACATAGTTTTGCACTTGTCCACAATGTGAAGTTAACCATCTTTTCCGCCCTTGTTGCAGCGTTTCTGTGAGCTAACATCATTTGGTATTTCTGTGTCTCTTTAGCAAAACAGAACATCAACACCCTGGGTCACCAGCTGCAGATGAACAAGCACTGTCTGGACATGGCCTTCAACTTCTACAAGATGGCGCTCATGAAACACCTGACCTGCGGGCGAAAGTCCATGCACGTCGTTGCCGCCTGTCTGTACATGGTCTGCCGTACCGAGGGAACACCACGTATCCTTACATTGCACTCATTTCCTTTTGTTCCTTTTTTAAAAAGTTTGAATGTTTCATAACTTCAGAATCTAAATGATTTGAATGTGTTTAGTCTGATTAAATCATCATCTTAATGTCTCAGTACCCAAGTTGGTCAGGCTCCTTCAGTCTTATTTAACGTTGTAAAAAGGTCTAAATTTCACCTCTGAGAGGACACCTGATCAAAGAGAAACTTTCACCTGTGAGCAGCGATGCAGCAGAGACACTTGTTGTTAAACTGCACGTCTAACAGCTCAGCTAAAGTTCGGCATTAGCTGACAAAGCTGCACATTAAATGTGTCACCCTTCATCCTGAACTGATTGAGGATGACACATCAAAGTCTGCAGGTTGCGTTTGATGCGAGCCAGCGGAGGCCGGGCCGCCCGTCACCGTCTTTCTTAACGTTTCGTAATCTGCTAACGGCAGCTTATTGAAGTCGAGAGTCATATGTCGTGGTCGGGATAATGGGACTTTTAGATTCATAAGCAGGGTGGCTCTTTGGTGTTTGTGCCGTCTACTCCTGACTCACATCGCCTCAGAGGATGAACGTGTTATGTAACAGCAGCACAGGACGCCCGGATAGGTTAACCAAATGAAAGAGGGCTGAGGAGGGTGTAATACCTCTTCCTGCTGCATTGTTTACCAGGCTTGTGTGTGTGTGTGTGCGTGTGTGTGTGTGTGTGTGTGTGTGTGTGTGTGTGTGTGTGTGTGTGGTGTGTGTGTGTGTGTGTGTGTGTGTGTGTGTGTGTGTGTGTGTGTGTGTGTGTGTGTGTGTGTTAGTGCAGGCCTGTCTGTTTGTGCATGTTGGGAGGAGTGAGGCCGGGGTAAAAATAGCTCTGCTCACTTCCTCTTCCACAGCTGGGTGAGTCTGTAATGTTGTCGCAGGGGAGAATACGGACAAAGAGGAGGGAGAACAGAGTGGAAAGGAAACACCCGTCGAAAGCTGCAGTTTTGCTTCAGGAGGCACTGCGAAAAGGAAATTGACTTTTTCTTTTCTACTTGTAAGCATTTTTTCCTGCAATCCCACCTTTTGTTGATTCTTCTCAACCTTTCTCCCTGCTTTTCACTTTTATTTGCCCTCTTCTCGAGTCTATAAGAGAG